CATGATTCTGGAGCTTCAATATTTAGTTTTTAATCAATTTGGTTTTTAATCTCTTGCCAACGCTTCAAAAGGATTTGAGCCAATAATCCTTGAACCACTTGCTAAAACTTTGCTCTGATTGACGGATTTGCAGTTTCAACAATGTATTTGGTATTCCAGCATACGATTTCGATGACATTTATATCCAGTTTGGCAGTTGGCCATGGCAAAACGTCGATCTTTTCCGATAAAAATCAATTCCTAGCGTCCTTTTCTGGGTGTTTCAAGTCATTATCCGGCTAGAAGATCCTTTTAACAGGAATTTTTCAACTGTTTTAATGTGTTCTAAAGTATGCCTACATTCACAGTTTTGCTCAATACCATACCATACTCAAACGCCAGGCTAGAAATTATTAGCTCATATGAGCTGGGCCCCATAAGGCTCAGCCTAGCATGAGCAATGCTATTTTTATACCCGTACTCAAAAAAGAGTTAAGGGGTATATTAGATTTGTGGTAAAAGTGGATGTGTGTAACGCAGAGAAGGAAACGTTTCCGACCCCATAAAGTATATATATTCTTGATCAGCATCAATAGCCGAGTCGATAGAGCCATGTCTGTCTGTCCGTCTGTCTGTCTGTCTGTCTGTCTCGATGAGCGCCTAGATCTTAGAGACTATAAGAGCTAGGGCAACCAAATTTGGTTTCCAGACTCATGTGATATCCCACTGCTACAAGTGTATTTCAAAATTTCGCCCCGCCCCCTTCCGCCTCCACAAAGGACGAAAATCTGTGGCAGGCACATTTTTAAAGATACGATAAAACTAAAAACGCAGTATCGTAGAGAATGACCATATCTACCAGACTGCCGAATCTGAATCAGATCAGATCATAATTATAGCCAGAATGAAGAAATTAATTTTCAGTTGCTTCCCCTCCCCCTCCCGCCCACGATAACGCAACTCATTTTCCTTCTCGCTCGCACACTCTGCCGCGTCCAGTGCGCGAGCAACCCCTAGCGGAGGAGATGTAGAATCTAATTGGAACATGTACAATTTACATGTTAGATGTAGAATATACATTGTAGATGTAGATAGCAGATGTAGCAAAAAAATGTTAAATGTAAAATTTTTTTTTTAATTCTAAAATTTTAAAAAATCATATGCTTAAAAATGTTTATGCTGACTGAGTACGGGTATAAGTAGAGTCGCGTCCCCAGAAGCGACTCGCACGTTCCTTCTCGTTTTTTTCAGGATTTTGGGTGGTAATTGGATTTCTGTGAATGCCAAACATATTCTTTTGAGTCTATCTTACCATAAAATATAACTTTACTATCATCAGTCAAACGCACTTTTATCACTGTGAACACAGGCCATTCCACATGCGTTTTTATACCCGTACTCAAAAAAGAGTTAAGGGGTATATCAGATTTGTGGTAAAAGTGGATGTGTGCAACGCAGAGAAGGAAACGTTTCCGACCCCATAAAGTATATATATTCTTCATCAGCATCAATAGCCGAGTCGATATAGCTATGTCCGTCTGTCCGTCTCGATGAGCGCCTGGATCTCAGAGACTATAAGGGCTAGAGAAACCAAATTTGGTTTCCAGACTCATGTGATATCACACTGCTACAAGTGTATTTCAAAATTTCGCCCTGCCCCCTTCCGCCCCACAAAGGATGAAAATCTGTGGCAGGCACAATTTTAAAGATACAATAAAACTAAAAGCGCAGTATCGTACACAATACCCATATCTACCAGACTGCCGAATCTGAATCAGATCGGATCAAAATTATAGCCAAAATGAAGAAATTAATTTTCTGTTGCTTCCTCTGCATCCCCCTGCCACCTACCCGGTACCTATCTCTTTCTCGCTCGCACACTCTGCCGCGTTCAGTGCGCGAGCATCCCCTAGCGGAGGAGATTTAGAATCTAAATGGAACATGTACAATCTACATGTTGGATGTATATACATTGTAGATGTAGATATCAGATGTAGCAAACAAATGTAAAATGTACAATTTTTTTTTTATTCTAAAATTCTAAAAAATCATATGCTCAAAAATGTATATACTGACTGAGTACGGGTATAAGGAGAGTCGCGTCCCAAGAAGCGACTCGCACGTTCCTTCTCGTTCCAAACTGAAGTCGTGCATCTATGTACTTTCAGACCCAAACGCGGAGCTTTCTGGGACTTCTTTCATTCAAATAATGTTGAATCAACCGTCTACGAACTGTCCCATCACTGGCAGAGCGATTTTAAATTTTGTTCATAATTTTTGAGGATATTGAAGGCATTGGTCTTGTTTTCGACCATCGCCGACCATCCTCAAAAAGAGAACTTTTTGTATACAAAATCGATTTTCAGTCTACTTGTTATAGTTAATTGGGTTAAATACAATAGTGAGAGTGCATACAACTTAGTTTTCAATCCCATTATACCTCCTTAGTCTTAATCTTAAGTTTTTAGTCTAACTCTTAGCTCTCGTCTTCTGGACCGAACACTGATTTCTTCAACGCTTCAAAATCAAAAGTACCGCTATGTCCAAAACTTTCTTTCATCAAATTATTTGATATCTAAATTGAGCTTACTTAAATTAATTTAAATTAATATGTTTTACTTTTTCATTTTTTAAAATTAATTTAACCCAGCACTTCTATTTCATTGAACAGCAGATATCATGGGTAGTTTTCTAAAGTCATGAAAAACAAGAAGATGGAATGCAAATGCAACGGTGTTTCTTTGAGTTTCTAATACAGCGATGCCTAGGCCCATTGCCCTGCGAGCCCTTTCTTTTTTGTAATTGCCCCCATCATAGGAAACCAATTCATGTATGCATCACAGTTTGTTCTGTGTACCAGCATACCGAAAGCCCAACACATGCAAAAAACTTTGTATGTGTATCCAGAAAAAACCGGGTTTGTCTCTTCTCTGATTGGTGTTGCCCGACTTTTGTTATAATTTTGTTGTTGTCTTTTCTTCGAGATTGCACTGTTCGCTTATTCGTATTTGTGTTTTGGTTTGGGAGTATTGGTGAGTGCTCTGCCCTAAGCTGATTTTGGGCTTGTTCTAATGCTTACATTCCCGGCTTTCCGTAAAGGTATCACTTGTTCAATTTGAAAGACTAGAAATATCTCAAAAATATTTTTGAAAGTAGTGATGTGCGGCACTACTATTTCATTGAATGTATGTATGTATGTGATTTATGTGACTTTTCCCAGTGGACCACAAGACGATAGTAAAGCGGAACTATCGCAAAATGTTCGTAAACGGACTTAGAAATGATAAAAATCCGTGAGTTGTTACTGAAGCCTCGCTCAATGTCCGCAAGCGGACTCAAAAAAGAGCATTTAGCGGACAAAAAGCATGGGACGTTTAAGTATCGCAAAATTATTGCAAACGGACTTAAAATTGAGTGAAAACTGTACAAGAAAGTAAAAAAAAACGGAAATATAGCTAGCTACCGGTAAAGTCTCGCTAAATGTGCGCATGCGGACTCAAAAAAGGGCATTGAGCGGACAAAAAGCAGGGGACGTTTAAGTCTCGCAAAAATTACGCAAACGGGCTTAAAATTGAGTGAAAAATTGACAAGAAAGTAAAACATAACGGAGAAAATAGCTAGCTACCGGTAAAGTATCGCCAAATGTTCGCAGACGGACTTAGAAAAGAGCATTTATTGTACTAAAACCAAGCGTCGACTAAAGTCGTAGCAGTAGGATAGGTTTATAATTCCCAACTGCTTTTGGCTGTGAGGACATGGAAACCCCGATGCCGATCAGAGGCGTAGAGGTTAATCGTGATCACGAGCGTGTTCCTCCGGAGTGAGACTTGGTCATTGCACGTCGGCAGAGATGACTTTTGCGATTATTCCTAATGTGAATAACTCGTCTGTGTAAATTTTGATAGCCGGGAATAGCGTTTGCGCCGTCCCTACTTAAATAATAAATATGCGAACAAAATACGAGACAAAAAATATTATTTTTAATTTACTTTTAATATTACTAGTGGGCTACTTTTAATATTACTTTCGGCTCGATAATGATATTAAAAACGTATCGTAGAAGATAGCATAAAAGGCTCGCAAAAGATATTATAAAAGGTCCGCAAGCGATACCTTCTTCGAGCTACCGAAAACGAAACTTTCACTGCCACAAAGTGAGCGACTAGTGATTCATTTTATTATCGTTTTTGGATCTAAATTCGATAGTTTTACCCGCTTGAGTTTCGCGTAACTCACGTTTGCGATATCGTTTACGAAGTTTTGGTCCACTGGGTTACTACACATATATGTTATAAGTAATATGACATAAGCGCCAGAGATGGCGCTCTTTCTCGGTTTATTCTTATTGTTTATTAGTAACGAATTCGTTCCTTGGTTGATACTTTTTTTTGCTATCTCTCTTAATTTTACTCGCACTTCATTCATTTTCATGTTCATTTTTGCAATTCTTTATCCTCTTCCTCCTAATGGCTTATAGATTAGAATCTTAGAACATTTTATCTCATTTTGGGACTTCTGTCTCTCTCTTCTCTCTGGTAACACTAGGAATATTAAAATAAACAAAAAAAACACCAACAGATGCTGCGTTTGAGGTTTTCTAATATCTTCAAAATTGTGGATGCCAAAGATTGCCCACATTTGTGGAAGCGGTGGGGACGTGGTAAAAAAAACTTGATTCATTGTGATATCAAAGGAGTCTACACCCAATTTTGTTGCTCCTGCTTTTATAGTCTCTGTGAACTAGGCGTCGAACAAGACGGACAGACAGACATGGTTATATCGACGATAAAGTATAGGGTCGGAAACGACTCATCCTGTCTGTTGCACACATCCACCAGAAAACTAAAATACTCCTAAAACCTTTAAGTACCGGATATAAAACGAGGGCCAAAAACACATGAGTATTACTCATCCATCCTATTACTCCTTTGCAGCACCAGAAAAACTTGTTTAGTTTTGACCGCCTAGCTTTCATGAGCTATTAAAGCCTGTACTAATTTTTGCGGGGTTTCTAATTGCAGGAGGACCCTATGCTACATTCGCTGGAAGAGACGCTTCACGAAATTTGGCAACATTTAGCGTGGTTTCAAATGATAAGGATGACTTCGATGACTTAAGCGACCTGAGTGCCGTAGAAATGGACTCAGTGCGTGAATGGGAAATGCAGTTTAAGGGTAACCAAAGAAAAAAGTATAATGTTCACTTTTAAGATTATCATGTTATTTTTAGAGAAATATGAACTTGTGGGCAAGCTGTTACGTAAAGGAGAGGAGCCTGCTAACTATGAAGACGATGATGACGATGAAAATATTGTTAGCAGTGAAGAAACTGTTGCCCAATCAGTTAATGTTTTAAACGTCTTGCGGAAACGTCAGTCGGACAATGTTGCATCGGAAACAGAAATTGATGCTAAAAACACCATTGCAGTAGATCATCACAACATTAAAGAACATCAAAATGCCAGAAGTAACATTTCATTTGCCACACCTTCAACCGAAAACAGCCCATTAGGTGAATTACCCTTGACCGATTGTTAGCAAGGCAAAAGCTCACAATTTTATAACTGTTTGTAGTTTCAATACATAATCGGAAACCTAAGAAGCATTCAGCAAATTTTGCTTTTTTTTAAATTATATCTGTTTTTTTTAAGTTAGAAACAATCATATTTGGTGCAATGAAAAAAAACTTAATGAGATCACTAAAACGGAGCGATGTAGAGCATTATGAAGGTAGACGCACTCAGTGCACGCATATGTATTTTTGTTACAAATTTATTTTCGTTGTGTGATTTTGTTCAATAGGTACATTACAAAAAAAATTTGATCATGATGTCAAGATCAAGATTAAAAAATATTGAATCAAAGGGCTTGGGAAAAGTAATTTAATATCATACAAATTTAAAATTGTATATAAATATTCCATATGTGGATATGTATTTAAACAAAAATCTATGCAACATTTTGGTGGGAATCTATGTATACAAGCTAATCGGCAATAAAAATAAAATTTTTAATAACCTTAACTTGGAAATATCTTTTAATGTATCTTCAATATACTGATGTCAACAAAGAAGTTGTTAACCAGTTTGATTTGAGATATAACAGATGTTCTATCCAAGGGGCCTTAAACTTTGTTCGGATTATGCTCATGTAGAAAGCGGCTAATAAAAATATAACACTTGGAGGGTTATGGCAAATTTCAGAATACAATATGCAATTGCTAATAAAACTCAAGCACAACCCACTTTTTATACCCGTACTCAAAAAAGAGTTAAGCGGTATATTAGATTTGTGGTAAAAATGGATGTGTGTAACGCAGAGAAGAAAACGTTTCTGACCCCATAAAGTAGATATATTCTTGATTAGCATCAATAGACGAGTCGATATAGCCATGTCTGTCTGTCCGTCTGTCTGTCTCGATGAGCGCCTAGATCTCAGAGACTATAAGAGCTAGGGCAACCAAATTTGGTTTCCAGACTCATGTGATATCACACTGCTACAAGTGCATTTCAAATGCGGAAATGCGTGAGGAGTTCAACAAGTCCCATCCTGAGTTGGAATCGCTGGATGAAGACGAGATTGGAAGTGAGCTGCGTGAAACCTTCGATACGCTGTTCATTTCTTTGAAAGCCGAGCTGCTGTCTGCTCTCGAACTAGGTCATTTACTCGTAGCTGCTCATTCCAATAACATGCCAAATGGCTCTGGAGGTCATACCATCATCATGGCTCACAAGCAGCGGCTTCCTGAGCTGAAGCTACCTATCTTCTCAGGCGGCTATGTGGAATATGCGGATTTTATTGCCATGTTCAATTCGGTCATCGAAGGGGATGCAGATCTCAGTGAAATCGAGAAGTTCCAACATCTTCGCTCATGTCTCTCGGATGCGGCCCTGGATTCGGTTCGATCGTTGGAGCTCTCCAGTGCCAATTATCGTGTGGCTCTGGACATACTTAGCAAACGTTTTTATAATAAACGACTTGTTTTCCAGGCACACATCAAGGAGATTCTTGGGCTCAAGAAGGTAGATTCGCCTTCTGCTAAAAGGCTTCGGGAGTTTTCGGACGCAGTCAACTTGCATAGGCGTGCCCTGCAGACATTAGAAAGTGCTGAGGAGATATCGGGATGTATGATAATCCACATGCTGCTGTAAAAACTAGATGCGAAGACCCAAACCAAATGGGAAGAGGCTGCGTCAGCGGACAGGATACCCACAGCTGGGGAGATCTATGATTTCCTGGAGAAGCGATTCCAGAAGATGGAGAACGTGCAGTAAGCTATAGCGACACACGCTGGTAGCGCTCAGGTGGGAAAAAGCCAGACTACACATCTAAAGAAAACCTTTGTTGCTTCTAACTTTTCCGCCGACCCGTCTGTCCAGGCAAGGGGAGTCGTCTAGCAATGTTTTCTGCTCAAAGTCTCGAGTGGCGCCACTAAAATCATTGTCGATTCCAAAGCTGGAATTGTGTAGAGCCCATTTGCTTGCGAAGGTTATGCGCAACTTAAAGGAGACGGGAATCTTCCCAGGTCAGTTTAACTGCTGGTCGGATTCGTCTACGGCGTTATCTTGGATTCGGGATGAGCCAGCCTAATTTCAGGTTTTCGTGGCAAATCGAGTGGCAACAATTCAGGAGTTGACGCAAGGCATGGAATGGCGCTATATTCCCACATCGTTGAATCACGCTGATATCCTCTCCATAGGCTCGCTTCCCAACCACCTCATCCAGTCAGAGCTGTGGTTTCTCGTTTTTATTAGGTTCTAAGGATGAGTGGCCTGTATCTCCCGTTTCTGAAACTCCGACCATTGAACTTCGCAAACGTGCATTGCTGATCGCGTCTCCACATGCCGATCTCACGTCCGGATGCAAATTTGCAAACTCTTTCTTTGGCATGCAGCGCACATTCTCCTACATTCATAAATTCGTTCATCGTCTTAGGCATCCTGGACTCACGGCTTCTGACATTCAGCAAGGAACGCATCTTCTTGTTTGACACGTTCAGCTGGCAAGTTTGTGGTCGGACATAAAGGAGATTAGACGCAATGGGCAAGTCAGGAAGTCTAGCTCCATCTGTTCGCTATCTCCGTTCATCGATCCGTCTGGTTTACTTCGAGTTGGAGGTCGTCTCGGCAACTCATCGCTCCCGTTTAATGCTCAGCACCCGCTTATTTTGCCCAAGGGACATCCCATAACGTCTGCAATGATAAGCTATTATCATCAACGGAACCTCCATGCCGGACCTCGTGCCTTGCTTGCTAAAATTCGATTAGAATATTGGCCTATTGGAGGAAACAAAGCCGTCTCGAAAGCGGTTAGCAAGTGTGTGAGATGCTTCAGGATGAGGCCGCGCATGGTTGAGCACATTATGCGAGACTTGCCTTCGAAGAAACTGGAGTGGACTATTGTGGGCCCTTTTTCTACCGATCAGAAATCCGCACGAGGCCTCCGATCAAGTGCTACATAATGTGTTTATTTGCTTCACATCTAAGGCCATACACATGGAGCTTGTTAAAGATCTGACCACCGCATCGTTCCTAGGCGCATTGAAACGTTTCACGTCCACTCGAGGAAGGCCAAGTCAAATTTGGTCGGACAATGCCACAAATTTCGTTGGCGCTAAGAATGAGCTTCTGGAGCTGAAGAAGCTTTTCCTGAGCGACTCTCACGTGAAGAAAGTCCATGAATCCTGCTTGGCTGACACAATCGACTGGCATTTCAGCCCCCCGCGCTCTCCGAACTTTGGTGGATTTTGGGAAGCGGCCGTGAAGTCCGCAAAGTATCACTTGTACCGCTCAGTTGGGCCATCTGTCCTTAGCTTCGACGAGCTGCGTACCTTGATCTGCCAGATCACGGCAATTGTTAATTCTCGCTCTTTGCTCTCGCTTTCAGAAAATCCTGCTGACTTGGATGTGTTGACGCTTGCTCATCTGCTTTTGGGAGGCCCGCATGAAACAATTCTCGAGCCTGACCTAACGAAGCTCAGTTACAACCGTCTGGATGGTTGGCAGCGGGTCACTCAACTGCAGCAGACATTCTGGTGGCGTTGGCGCGAAGAGTCTTTTTTCCAAGAGCGCTTGAAGGGGCGTACGCCTGCGCAAAATCTCTGCGTCAACGATGTCGTCTTGGTGAAGGACGAGAATCTTCCTCCAATGCGTTGGCCACTGGCTAGAGTGGTCGATGTCGTCAAAGGCAAGGATGGAGTATGCCGCGTGGCTGATTTGAAGACGGCTTCAGGAGCCATCAGGGGGGCCTTTATTCGGATGTGTTTGCTGCCCCTTGAGAAGTCAGTTGAAAGGCGAGCTTCCAACGGGGGTCTATTTCTTAATATTAAATGTAGCTGTACCTATTTGTATAAGAGTAACGAAACCTAAACTTATGTATGTCTCCAGAATTCGGCAGTGCTGGTCCCTGTTCCCTTATTTGTATTTGTGTTTTTGTTTGGGAGTATTGGTGAGTGCTCTGCCGTAAGCGGATTTTGGGCACCCCTGATCTATATATATAAAAATGAGTCCCTATTTCCCTTGGTCCCGGCTTCACGCATGAACAGCTGGACTGATTTCGCTAATACTTTTTTGTTGTGGTGGTTATTGTCAGGAGAAGGGTTTAGGGTCTAGAATCCCCGATATATTGGCTGCAAGAAACGTGAACAAATGGTTATAGCTTTGACAGAGAGACCTATCAGTAGAAAAGCTAGCTTTGTATACGAAACACTTCGTAATAGTTTAATAGTTTTGTTTATTGTGTCGGGTTATTATTATTGCTACTTGGTTAGTTTGGTTGTTGGGGCGCGGCGTGTAGGTTACTTCTTGATTCCCGATGGACTGCCGACTTCCTTGTTTGTTATTTGCCTGACTGCTATGGCTGATGGACTGCCGATTGACTATGGCTGATGGACTGCCTATCGACTCGAAAGCGAACTCCTAGCGAACTGCCGATTTGCGAACTGATGGCGAACTTATTTAGTACTGGGAGAACTCAGATGTATATAGCGTTTTCCCTTTCTTGATAGGGCCAGTGCTGCTATGTATGGGACATTGCTCCGAGCCGGGCTCGGGTTTCGCTTTAGCGTGTTGATCGGCACTTTTCCATGCTATTGGTTGTATTTTGCTGCGTCAGGTGATCGCGTTTTCTTGACATCCGATGGCCCCTGTGCTGAGTCCTCGGCTTTCCTGTCTGCCGGCCACGCGTGTGATGTGGTTGGTAGTTATTATACCCGTACTCAAAAAAGAGTTAAGGGGTATATTAGATTTGTGGTAAAAGTGGATGTGTGTAACACAGAGAAGGAAACGTTTCCGACCCCATAAAGTATATATATTCTTGATCAGCATCAATAGCCGAGTCAATAGAGCCATGTCTGTCTGTCCGTCTGACCGTCTGTCCGTCTTGTTTGACGCCTGGATCTCAGAGACTATAAGAGCTAGGGCAACCAAATTTGGTGTTCAGACTCATGTGATTTCACACTGCTACAAGTGTATTTCAAAAATTCGCCCCGCCCCCTTCCGCCCACACAAAGGACGAAAATCTGTGGCAGGCACATTTTTAAAGATATGATCAAATTAAAAACGCAGTATCGTAGAAAACGACCATATCTACCAGACTGCCGAATCTGAATCAGATCGGATCATAATTATAGCCAGAATGAAGAAATTAATTTTCAGTTGGCTCCCCTGCCCCCTCCCGCCCACGACAATACAAACTTCTCGCTCGCACACTCTGCCGCGTTCAGTGCGCGAGCAACCCCTAGCGGAGGAGATGTAGAATATAAATGGTACATGTATAATCTACATGTTAGATGTAGAATATACATAATATATGTAGATGTAGATTTTTATAATCTTGGCTCGCGCCTTTCCGTCGATTGACCGCGCGTGTGCTGAGTTCTTGGTTTTCTTCAGTCGACGTCTGTCTGTCTTGCGACCTGTGCTGCGTCTTCGAATTTGTTGGTGTTGATATATTCACTTTGGAGTAACGTTGGTTGCATCGGATTCATGGAGATAGGGACACGCTGTCTTCTCCTCTTCGACCCGTGCGAGTGTTCCTAATGGTTGCCTGTATAGTGCATCTGCAACTACGTTCTGTTTGCCCGCTCGATAATGCACGTCATATTGGTATTGCTGAAGTTCGAGGGCCCATCTCGCCATTCTACCGTATGAGCTGTCAAGCGTATTTAGCCATTTTAGCGCGAGATGATCGGTGATTACATCGAATCGGTATCCTTCCAGGTAACAGCGTAGTTTTCGAATGGCCCAAATGACCGCCAGGTACTTCTTGTCGGTAGCGGAGTAGTTTTCTTCTGCCTAGTTCAGTCATCGGCTAACATATGCTATGACTCGTTCTTTGCCTTCGATTTCGTGGGTGAGAACTGCGCCAACTCGCATCCGTTTGCAGCGAGAACTTGACGTTGAAATCGGGGCATGCAAGGACGGGGGCGGTCGTGAGAAGTTCCTTCAGTAGGTCAAAAGCAGCCTGTTGTGCTTCGGTCCATGTCGGTTCTTGAGAAGGCAGGACATCGGTTGGGCGACTGTCGCGAATTTTGGTAAAAATCTCCGGTACCAGGACGCCATCCCGATGCATTGACGAAGTTCTTTCAGGTTTGTAGAAGGCCTGAGTTCTTTGACGGCGGCAATTTTGTCGGGGTCGGTATGAATGCCTTCTTCGCTGATCATGTGACCCAGAAATTTGATCCGGCTTTAAAAGAAAGTGTGAGGGCCCGCTGAAACGTTGCCGGCGATGAATGTAGTCCAGAAGGCATCATTATCAATTGGTCTACTTGTTCGTCGATGATTCGCATCATGGACGGGTTTTTAGGATAGTATCGTTGCTTGATGGGTCGCTTATCCCTCATGACGATGGTATGCTCGGCGATGTCTGAGATGCCATGGAGGGTAGCGAACTTCGGTAGCTCTTCGTCCAGAAATGCTTGAATTTGTGGCGCTATGTCGGGTGGCCAAGGATCCGTGGCTGGTTCTGACTCGTCTTCGATCTCGGGGTCAAAGTGTTGGTTCGGCGTTTTGGGTGGGATGGTGGTGTCGAACGCGCTGGGTGGTTTGATTCTGCGGGGGAATTCGCTGATGTGGGCGACAATGGGTGTGGTATCGACCATGGGTACGATATTTTGGCATGCCGGATGTAGTACTCGTGTTATACTACAGCCAGACTGGTGCGTGAACAGGTGAGTCACGATGACGGCTTTTGGTATCGCAACAACGACTTGTTTGAGCGACGAAGATCTCGGACATGGCTCTAAGCATGGCTCGGTGCATGGCGCTAAGAATCATGTGGGTACGCGGAAGGTACTCAAATGGGTTTGCGAAGATCTGTCTGGCGTCGGGCGTGGGTATGACAGGGCGGCAGTCGGTGTATCGTGAGGTCATCGTGCTGGTTTCCGGGCTCGCGTTGAGGGGCTCTGTGGATATCAGTTCAATTATGGTCCCCGACCAGCGTGAGGTCAACGTGGATGTTTCCCTTGTTGCTGGGCTGTTGATCTGTTGCTACCGTTGTCGGTGTCAATGTAGGTGTCTTGGTTCAGGGCTGAATGTCGTCTCTGAGGGTGTTTCTGTGTTCACTTTTCCTTGGAAGAGATGGTACTTACGTGCTCTGTTGCTGGTCTTGGACCTGGGCTTCCTGTGTCGAGCGCCGGGTTCCAGTGCGTTAGGGCTTGTCTCGTATGTGAGATTTTCGTAGTTTCTTTGGGGTATGTGTCCCCTGTGGTTGGCCTAGGACGCGGTTGCTCCGTAGTGACCGTGGGAATCGTTTACCCGGTTGCTTGTGGGCTGTTTCTTGGTGTTGGCTTCGGATTCGTTCTGCGTTGTGGGCCGGCGCTTTGCCTGGGGCTGGTTGTCGTGTACTTCGTGGCGATCTGGGTATTTTTATTCGTTGGGGTAGGTCATGGTCGTGTGGTTGGTATGAGTGTCATGTTGACGCTGCTGGGTGCACTGGATCGTTGTTTCAATGGCGTATAGGAAGTTCATGCCGACGATAACTTGATCGAACATGTTTGGTAGGACAAGGAGGGGTATTTGAACTTCTCTTTTATCCAGCCTGATGTGCACCAGTAGAATCTGGGTGATCTCTCTGACCGAGCCATCGGCCAGGCGTATGCGGACGCATGCATCTCGCAGGTTGGTGTTGTTGTCTTGTTGTCGGGAGAGGTTTCAACTGATAAAGCTTCGGGATGCCCCTGTGTCGACGGTGGCTTCCGTTGCCTGTCCTTCTATGGTTACCATTGCCACTATCCGGTTCTCGTTCATGTGTAGCGGGGTTTTTATTCGTGGATCGGGGCAGACGTCGTTCCCGGCTGATCCCG